GTATGTTCCTGTATGACAGCATTTTTGCATTTTGAGAACCCCTAACCCACCAACGAGAGCTGTTCCTATATGACACCTTTTAACCGTACATCGCACCCACGAGAGCTGTTCCTATATGAGACAATTTAACAGACTATCCCACAACCGAGGCTTCGTACCTGATCCGACAGCGAACCCTCGCTGACACGAGATGCTTCGGCGCCCCCTGCTGCGCGTCCCTGCCGCAACATCGCGCGTGCGCCTCACGCACGGGCCGCCCCGTGCGGAGCAGTAGCTGTCAGCGTTGCTGGCTGTCGCTGCGTGCAGCCTGCCGCAGATCGACGGTCTAGCGGCGAGCTCCCACACCCTGACCTGTCGCTCTCATCTACAGAGTCGGTGGTCGAGGACAGAGACGGGTGCGAACCGTGCAACGAGACAGCACGACTCACGGGCCAAACACCGAGGTGGGACGAGGCGGACAGAATGATGAGTCACAGTGTTGAGACGGAATGAAGAGTCACATGTGGGACGGAATGATGAGTCACAATGTGAGGGACGAATGATGAGTCAACAATGGGGACGGAATGATGAAGTCACAATTGTGAGAGACGAAATGATGAGTCACAATGTGAGACAAACTATGAGTCAGAATGTGAGACAGGACAAGGAATCACGTGGCTGAGACAGGGAATCGATGGAATTTCATGATTAAGAGCAACCTCAACTACAATTAACCATATTAGAAACAACATAACAATTAGAGCATGTAACCTTAAAAAGATAACTAAATATAACCTAAACCACTTTAATCATATAAGAAACAATATAACAATTAAAAGCACGCGAACATACATAAAGATACTAAATTATAACCTCAACTACATTTAACCATATAAAAAACAATATAACCATTAAGAGCACGTAACCATCGTCCATATTCGAGGTTGCACACTCACAGATGTGTGAGGACTGGGATGCTCATCGCCATCAAGTGACACGAGATGCTGACGATGCCGGCTTATGTCTCGATTATGTCGACAATCAGACGCGCAATTTTCTCCGTCTGACATCTCTGCTGGGTGATGCCCCACCTCTAGACGGCAGCCCCGCACTGGTTTCCTGTCCGTCGCACACGATGTTTCCTGCTCTGTCCCGTGATCGTATCAATCTCCCACTTCGCTGTCTGCTAGCGGGGACGCCTCGCTGCCTGTTGCACGATTTCGCGGCGAGAGCGTTCTTTGCGAGCGCGACAGCGCGGATTTCCCCTCCGTGCAAAACCCAGTGGTGATGGTTCGCATCACCATGCAAACCAGGTGGTGATATCATTGCCATTAACACGCAACAACCAGCTGTGACGGCATCTGCCCATCATCAGACCCCGACATGACCGCGTCTCGATGCCGCCTCGCGCCTGCAGGCGGCAGCGCGAGTTTCCTTTTGGCCGCGCCAGAGTGCGGAAGGGCAAGCCCGCCCTCGCCTCGGCTCCCGGCGCGTGACGACTCCGCCTTCTCTCCCCGCCGCCGCTGCGGCGCCTCCCGCGTCGCTTCACCGTGGAGTGTCGCTCGGCGCCATGGCGCGACCAGGGCCTTGCGGGCCCGCCTCGCGTGACAGACTCTGCTGCTTTTGCGCTTCCTGCCGAGCTGACAAAGAATCTCCACGCGGCGCCTGCGTTGATTCGCGCGCGGGCGATCGGACCGTTCTCCTCTGTTCCTGCCACAGTCGGAGCTCCGCCCTTCGGTTATCACCCCATTAGGTGTCCGCCTTTAGGTTTCGGCAAGTCGTGCCCCCGTCCCTCTCTATTTTCGGAATCAGATATCCGAGTGTCGGTTCCTGACGACGACGTCGGAGCATCGCGCCTCGTTTTAGCCAATCACATCTCTCTTTTTCGTTTTGTACGGAATCAGGATGCGCACGCCTCCGTTTTCAACCGGTCAAATCTCGGCGATTCACTTTCACCGACATCAAGGTGTTGCGCTTTTTTTCAGCCGAATCCGATGTCCGTGCCTCGGTTGTCTCAAATCGCCAGCCACTCAGTTTTCCGTGAATCAGAGTCTTTCTCTTTGTACTTGCACGTTGTGACTCAGCGCATCCTGACGGCCTACGATCCTGTCTGTGATCGTCCACGAATCGTCGTGACCCCTCATGCACATCCACGCAATATCCCCGCCACCAATGTTTCTACCAAGCTGCGCAGAGCGGCTCTCAAGTTCTACTGTGTCTGGCGACGCCACGTCATCGTCGTCATCCGCACGTCAGTCCAGTAGATGGTGTCGCGAGGAATCGTTGAAGGAATGACTGCAGCTCAGAGAGAGCTAAATGTCTCGTCAAGAATTCGCTACTGGCAGGGTATGGATGCAGGTCTGGATTCTGCGGGTATTTATTAGAAGTTCTGGATTGATGCCTCAAATTTTACCGCGAGTCGCAAGCACGATACCTGTATTATTTCTACACAGAGGTCGGACATGGGTTTCTGTACATTGTGAGGCCGCTAGGTTCGGGAAAAAAAGTCCCGCGCTTACATCAGAAGTCGTGAGTTGTGTCGGTACATTTATCAGAAGTTCATGGGTCGTGTCGGTACTTTTATCAGAAGGTCGTGAGGTTTTGTGCTCGTTACTGTTATTGAGAGATTTTCGTCATAATCGCACGCTAAACTACGCGAAAAACCCTTACATGGGCGGAGCTCGTGTGCAGGAACAGAGGAGAACCGGGTCTGATCGCCGCAGCGATCACGCAGGCCGCCGTCGGAGTTCTTTGTCAGGCCGGGCAGGAAGCGACAAAGCAGCAGAGTCCAGTCCTACCGAGCGGGCGCAAGGCCCTTGGTCGCCATGGTCGCCAGAGCGACATCCACGCGTGAGCGACGCGGAGCCGGCGCGCCGCTGCGGCGGGGGAGAAGCGGAGGATGGATCCAGTCGTACGCCGCCGGGAGCCGAGGCGAGGGGGGCTTGCCTTTCGCACTCTGGTTGGGCCGGCCAAAGGAACTCGCCGGGTGCAGCTGCGGCAGCGAGCTGGATCGAGACGCGCCATCCTGGTCATTGTGGCGCGGGTTGTGTGGGAGATGCGTCACAGCTGGTGTTGGTGTTAATGCAATGATTTCACACCTGGTTTGCATGGTGATGCGCACCTTCACACTGGGTTTGCACGGAGGCGGAAACGCGGCTGTCGGCGCTTGAAAAACGCTTCTCCGGCCGAAACTCGTGAACAGGCGCGGAGTCCCGCTAGAGACAGCGATAGGTGGGAGATTGTACTAGATCACTGGGACAGACTGAAAATCGTGATGCGACGGACAGGGAAACCACGTGCGGGGTGCGCGTCTAGAGGTTGGGCATCACACAGCAGAGATGTCGACGTGAGAACAATTGAGTCTGATTGATCGTACATAATCCGAGACATAGCGGCATCAGTCAGCATCCTAGTGTCACTTGATTGCGCATGAGTCATCCAGTCCTACACATCTGCGTGAGTGTTCACTCGATATGGACGATTGGTTACGTGCTCTTAATGGTTATATTGTTTTTTATATGGTTATGTAGTTGAGGTTATATTTAGTTATCTTTATGTTAATGGTTCCGTGCTCTTCTTATTGTTATATTGTTTTATATGATTAAATGTGGGTTTAGGTTTATATTTAGTTATCTTTTTAGTTATTGTCTTATTTGTTATGT